TTTTTCTTCTTCTTGAAATAGTGGAGATATAAAAAAAATTTAATGTTTCTGTCTCCATAGGCAATCCATTTAGATCTGGATTTTTGAAGCCATAAGACTTCTTCTTGTTCTAAAATTTGTTTATATTTATGTTGGAGGTCTTCCTCAAGTCTAGATAGATTATGAGAATATTGAAGGTCTTGGGCTTTTTGAATACCCTCCAATCTTGCTAATTTCTTATTTTCCTTCTAAATAAGTTCCCAAATGTATCTCTATTCCATTATTTGGCAATGTTTTGATGTCAGTTGTGGCTTTCATGAGTGAGTTAATATTAATTCTCCAGGTTTTAACTACCACTTCCTTAAATTCAAGGTGAGAAGCCCACATAGCCTCAAATCTAAAGGGTTTGAAAGCATAAGGGGAAAGAGACATACCTTGCATTTGGATCAACATTGGACAATGGTTTGAGAATGTTCTGGGAAGGTTCCTTACACCTGCCTCAGGGAACTGCACGGTCCATTCCGAATTCGCCAACGCCTTATCAAGTCTGATTTTCGTATTCGCAAACCCTTTCCTCTTATTATTCCATGTGAGTTTGGGACCGCTGCAACCAAGATCAATAAGACCACAATGATTAACAATATCTTTAAATTTTTTAGTTCTTCTTGTGTGATCAACTTTTCTCCCTCTTCTCTCAGAATGGCTAGCGAAATCAATGAAGTCTCTAGCTACCATCCAAGAATTGTTGTAGTTGTCCCCTATATAGCTGAGCTCATCCCATAACTGGTCTCTACAGCTTGAATTTGGACTCCCATAAATGGCAGAGAACAACCATTCATCAAAATCCATTCTTACAATATTTGAATGTATAACTTGATTAGTAGATCCTCTGATACTAATAGAAATATTAGATGAGTCCCAGAAAAGCCAAATCCCCCTAGTTCTTCCTACTAGTTCCACTTTCTCAAATGCTGTTAGACTATGCTGATCAAAAAAATTTTCCATGCAACTGCTCTGGATCTTCGTCTCCAGAAGTACAACAACATCAGGTTTATGAGCCCTGAAGAGATCATTGAACACCCTTCTAAATCCATCATTCCCAACACCCTTGCAATTCCAGACTAGTATTGGTAAACATCATTAAACACTATGGAAGAGGCATAGAACTCTCAAGGTCAAGCTTCCAAATAGCTGCTTCCCTGTACTCCTCTATCGGGAGTGCAGGTCTTAGTGAGATTATGATAGTTTGAGTCTGTGCTTCTTCGAGGGTGCAAGGTTCCACCACTAGGACTGTTGATTGTATAGACCAATTAACTAGAGCAATCCACTAGTTCTCCTGCTCTGAACGAAAGAGAAGACCCATCATACTGTTGTGAAGATGAAACGTCTTCAATGGGGAGCTTTCCATTCCTCCTATTTTTTCTACTTCACCTGGGTCTGGTGGTTTTGGTTTGAGGAGGTCTGGATCTAGTATATTCAAAGGGTCTTTTGGTGTGAATAAGGGTTGGGAAGGGAGGGGGAGGGATGGTTTGTATTGAAATGCTGGTAAGAGGTGACGATTGATTCTTGCTGCCCTAACTCTCCTTCATTATTGTACCTGGAAGCCTCCAGGTCCATTGGATTTGAACTTGCTTCCAAAGCACTATTATGGCCCTTCGATCTCTGCAATGAAATAGAACCGTTAGAGAAAATTACCTCAACATCTTGGAAAGAGGGTTGGTTCACCTCTTGTTCTGATATTTAAGCCCGATTTTTCTTTTCATTCATCTGTGATCCTTTCTTTGGACTTGGGTTAGAAGAATTTCTAGTTGGACCACTCTGGATAGGTCCACTATCCTGGAGTTGAACTTCTTCAATGGGCTACTTCTATAAGGCTTGAAATCTGTTGGGGTGGCCCACTCTTTTTTGCATTTTTTGGTTCCTAAAACCCTGTTGATGTTTCCTTATGGGTTGGGCTATCAACCAAGGCCCAAATTCCGCTTTGGGCCTCAAATCATTAAACCTAACTTGGGTTGGATCTGAGTTTACTTGTGACGTTGAGAGTTATCATCTGTAACGTTTCTCGTCCTTTGGTTTTCCTCTCTAATCGGGCTAAGGTTTCTGGTAACCATTGGAGGAATTTTACCTATACTATGAGGACAGTAGGCTTCCATATGTCATATCCTCCCACATCCAAAGCAAACGGTGTGCAAACACTCATATTCAACTCTGAAAATTCTTGAACCCAACTTGTACTGCGAATTTAGAGGTTTGCTATGAGATCTCTCTCCACACACACTCTAGCAAATTTTCCTCTCTCAGTAGCTGCTGTTTTAATGTTCACCTTGATTGGCTTACTTAGTGCTTTTGGAATATGGAACAAGGTTTTTTCATCATAGTACTCAATCGGGAGTTCTGAAAGCCTTACCCAGATTTCGATGGTAATCTCAAAAGCCCTAAAAGGAATAAAATCAGGTTCTCACTTTCTGACAGTTAGGTAGTGATTCATAATAATCTATGGACCTTTAGTTGAGACTTTGAAGCAGTCTTTCTTAGATTAGAATTTAAACAAGAAGAAACCATTATCCAAATCAATTGCTTCAAAATCATTCTGGAGGGCCCAAATATTCCTAACCTTCATAAACAATATTTTGTATCCAATGTTTTTTCCAAGAAGTTTTACTAGCAACCCATCTTTCTAGCTATTTCAGATGCAAAGTAGAGTTCTCTAGGGTAGTCTTATACATGTGCAGGACTCATCAGAGGTGTCGATTAAACCCTGTTTGATGACCCCCAAATGACCAACCTCAACCTCCCTTGTTTGATCCTTTTTAGGCACTTCGGCGTCTTCGTCATCAGAGAGTTCACCATACACAGCTTCATCAAAATACAAAGTATTTCTATCTTCCAACAAGCCAGCCATATAATTTCTTGGCTTAGGATCAGAAGTAGTCTCAAGATTTCAATCATATCTTTCTCCTCTTCCACAATTCTTATGGTTGCTGGGTCCACTAACATTACATCTTCAGATGAGGTCTAATGGCATTCTTTTGATTTTCTTGGTACTACATTGAAGGTGATCGTCCTCCTCTATCGATCGAGGCGGATGACCCTTAGGATCCTCATCCATCGAGGAGAAAGCCAGATCCAGATGGAAATGAAAGCATTTTGATTTACTTTATTTCACCAAAGTCATGACATTAAAAATTCAGTTTAGACTTTCAGCTTAATATGTGCCTATATTCATTATTTGATTGTTTCATGTTCAAGAACAATGTTCATTTTTTTTGCATTGCACAAGGCCTTCAAGTACAGGTTATGAAGATAGTTTAGGCTTTTAACTTAGTATGCATTAGAGTTCAGTACTTGATTATTTTGTGCTCAAATTCAATGCTTGATTTTTTTTTGAATTACATAGTATCTTCAAACACGGGTTATCTCTAGTACATTAATATATTATGTACTAGTGTCCTGCGATGCACATGTATTTTTTTGCCATTTTTTAGATTTTGCTTAAGGAGATAGATACAAAATAATACTAAATTCTTCAATAAAAAATAATTTATACAAATAAATTTATAAAATAATAGGTAGTTTGTGAGGTGTTCAAAGGAGATTACAAAAGACATATGGTAGAGTGCAATTGGAATAAGCCTTAGTATGGTAATTCCAAAAAATTAAAACTTTAGAAAATTAGAAAATGTGGAGGAAAGACTTTTCAAGTTTTCTCTCTCCTAATTTGTTTGTTTTATAGATATACTATATGTCTATCCCATTCTATGCATGGAATTATAATTCGTGTCTTTTTTATTTATTTTTTATTTGTTTCTTTCTTGTTATCACTTGAGAAGTTAGATAAATAGTTATAGAAATTTTTCCGATGATAAAAAAATAATTTAGTTGAATCAAATTTGAAAGGATAGTAGTTGGCTATTGCGGAGTTGAGGGTGTTTACAACTGACACATGTTATCGTCTAATTGGATGAAGCCTTAGGTTTTGAATTAAAAGAAAATTAAATTCTAAGAATTTCAAAAACAGGGAGGGAAGACTTTGCATGCCCAATAATCTCTAAATTGTTATATGTATATGCGTTATGGCTCCATATATTCTTTCATTTTTTATTTATTTTTTTCTCTTTCACCTTGTTACTTAAGAGGGTAAAAAAAAGAGTTAAACTAAATTATTGAATAATAAAAATAATTTTATGCAAATAAATGTGAAAAGAATAGTGGATAGTTAATGGGGGAGTTGACGGGTGGTTACAAAAGACATATGGTAATGTGATTGGGGCAAGACTTAGTATGATAATTAAGCATTCTCCCTTTTAATTTATTTGTTTTATATATATAGATAGACAAATATAGATATATAGATTATATAATATATTTTTATTATACGGTAAGTGTATAATAATATATTATATACTAAAAAATTGTATATTGTAATATTTATATTTATTGTATATATGTATTATATATTACGTGGGTAAATGTGTATCATATATAATAAGTGGATAATATGTGAGATTGTCAGGATTAATATAATAAAATAACAAATTCTCTCACTTTCATCTGCAGACAAACTCTTACAGGGGGGGGGGGTGTAAGTGAAATTTTTGATATTGTAGAGAGTGCTTAAAGATAAGATATTCTATTGGGGTGTGGATTAAATTTTCACTAATTTTATTGGATCTCTAGTGGTTGATGGTCCCCTTAGCCGAGCCATTCTATGTTGAAAAGAGGCACTTGATCATCAATTTACAATATCACGCAATATGCACATACAAGTATTTAATACATAGTCCTTTGGTAAACAATATATACAAATTTCATATGCAAATTCATGATTCATAAGTGAGATACTTAACCAACCACATGCAGCACAAATTAAATAAACATCGAGGAGGGATTTTAGTCTCATATATCCTAGCGCATATTTGTTCAGTAGAATCATCATTTGCTTATTGTAGGTCTGTTGATTCCCGTCTGAGACACCATCTATTTGAAGGAGGTGCACATATTAATTATATAAGTAATGATGGTTAAGATTTGTTGAAGCCCAACATGGTGAGAAGAATGCCAAGATAATCAAATCTGTAAATTGACTTAAAGAGCTGCAACTTGTGGTCATTCCATGGAGGGTATCTGAACCAAAAGTCTGTTAGGAAGCTTCTACTTAGAACTGCCTTTTCATGGGTGAAGTTATCAAAAGAGAATTTTCCATGGTACTTGCCAAATCCACTTTCACCAGTTCCTCCAAATGGGATAGTATCTGCTGCATACTGCACTCATAGCATAGCAGGCAGACAAGATCAGAAAAGAAATAAAAAACTATTTTCAAGAAAGCAGTCAATTAAGTCACTGATGAAATACCTGGATTACAGCGTCATTAAATGTCACACTTCCTGAAGATGTCTCAGATATCACCCTTTTCTTGAATGTTTCATTGTTGGTGAAGGCATAAATAGTGAGAGCCTTAGGCCTTGACTTGATAAATTGAATACTATCTTCAATTTTCGACAACTGCCAGAAAAGGGGGAGGAAAATGCCATATATTTTTGTTTCTTCAATTACGTACGAATGTGTCTGGAAATATTTATATAGGCTTTTATTTTAGTATGATAAATGGAGTACTGCTTACTGTAATTACTGGAAGCAATGGCCCAAATATTTCTTCTGTCATAATTGCAGACGTGGGAGGAGGATCCACCAAGATAGTGGGCTCAATGAACCTGTGGTCACATGAATGAACATTAATAAAACTTCTATCCAATATGGAGTTAGATCATCTTTCCTGCACTTTATTTTCTTCTCTCCTTTGTTTTTGGTAGAAGGGACGAAAAGTAAGAAGGTTAATTTTTTTTATGTTTGGTAGGATGAAAAAATAGAAAGATATATCTATATATATTAAATGATATAGAAGTAAATAACATACATTTTAACATACATAATTAATTTTTTATCCTAATTTTGGATGGATTGATTTTGGTGAGTTAAAAAAAAAGTTCATCCAGCCACTTTTTTATTCTTTCTATTTTTTTCTTTCCTTATTAAACATGATGTTTTATTTATCTCTCAAACTTTTCATCATTTTATTTTTTATCGCACCCAACAAATATTATTTTTTATTTTTTTGGGAGAAGGGGGAGAGAGAGAAAGGGGGAGAGAGACTTGAACCCTTGACCTCATAAAGACAAAACTTTCATAAGATGAGAAGTACTATTGGACCAAATAGCCATTGGTGTACCCAACAAATATTAGTGATTTTGTTTTCTTTGCAAAGGAGCATGGTACATGTTAGCCTTGGTAAAAAACCAACAAATGAGTCAAAAGAGAGGGAAAATAAACATTGAACAACATCATACTAATACGAATTACTTACAGATTGTCTTCATCGAATGAACCACCATAGACAATAGAAGCTCTGACCATAGGTTCATCTAAATAATTTTTCAGTCTCAAGAAGTGCCTTTTATTGACGATTCTTGCAACACTATATGATTCTTTTGGATTTTCTCCAAACATTTTCTTAGTTGCAACCTTGAGTTGTTCCACCTGGAAGAAATGATATATATATACTTCAAGCTAATATTTTTCCTATTTTAGCAAATTAATAAATAGAAAATCTGCAAATTGCACTTTGACCCCTTAACTATGACTTTTTTACATTGCCCCCTCATTTATCATATTTTCACAATGTAATTAGCTTCACATTGCCCCAATGATTAGTGTCCATTACAAATTTAACAAAGAATGATTTTATTTTGCCACTGAACTATGTAATTTTTTTCGCTTTCTCCTGACATGTTGGCAGTTTTCATCCAAAAAAGATAACATGTGTTTGCATTTTGGAGTAATGTGAAATAATTCAAGTAGTTGAGGGGGTAATGTAAAAAATTAAATAGTTTAAGAAAAAAAGTAAAATTGAGTCCATATTTAAATGGGTCAATGTGTAATTTTGCCATCGAAAACTTGATATCAAACCAATTGGCAGCATACCAAAGTGGAAGTGTACGTCTTTCTGCGAGGATATAGTCAATTGCTATGCATGCTTGG